ACGGGTCTCACGAAAAACCATTGGTCTCACATGATCCCAAGTCTATATATATATATATATATATATATATATATATATATATATATAGATAGATAGATAGATAGATGGTTGTCCTTCTTCATCATCATGTATGCAAAACCCAGTCGTATCTCTGTGTGTTTAATTTGTTCATAGTAGGGTTTCAAGTTTAAGATTAATCACATCCCAGGGGTTGTGCTTTAGAAGAACAACAAAAGCAGAAGTTCAACAACAAGAACAAAAGTTTAAGATTAATGAATATTTTTTAAGGATGAACAAAATAAATAGAAGTTGAAGACAGAGAAAATCCAAAACAATATTTGTGTCGGTTATGAACAATAAAAATAAAAAATAGAAGTTGTGGCTATCGAGGAATCTGGTTTCGATTTCCTGATGACTCGATGAAACCCAGTTTCAATTTATCGATAAACTTGGTTTCTTTTATTGATGACTCGATGAACCCGGTTTCAATTTCTCAATGAGTTCACTCAAAAGCTTCAATGTTAACCATAAGGGTGGTGTCTGATTGGTTTGAGCTTGGCTTCAAAGGTCAAAAGTACCAGGAGGTCACAGGTTCAAATCCAAGGAGGAAAAAAAATCCCCTTGTGGCCACGGAGGTTCAGATACGGTGATTCGGAGCTATCTGCAAAACAGATGGTCACCCTGGAATTAGTTGGCTCGAATAACGGATTGTAATTTATTCTTTTTTTTTTCAACATCTTGTTGATATTAATTAACAGTGTATAATTAGTGAATTATTATAAATATATTATGAAAAGTTAAATTTTATTAATTTTTAAACATGTTTTTTTTATCATTTTACATTTTTCAACCAGCTTATCAGCTAGTTTTTGCCAAATATTTAGTTCATCCATCAGCTTTTATCAGCGTCAGCTAGTTTGCCAAACGTAGCCTAAAACCGTTCACCAAGTATAATACTAAACTTTGCATTCTCTATCATAAGTTACCAATAGCATAAATAGACAACGCAAACAAAAACACCAAACGAACCATCCTTTGAGAACGAAAAGCGCACTACGACGAATTTCATCGGTTAGTATCACAACTTGAGGATTGTCATAAAAAAAAAAACTTTACATATATGAACAACCAATTCCTCAAGAGTTCGATGCTAATGAAAAAAAGAACAGTTTCAAGAAACACGATTGAGGACGTTTGGAGCTCTCATGTCTAATAATGCTAATCACCCGTGTACGAGATTCAGGAGCAACACGAGGGCGTGATGGCGTCTAAGCAAATTGCATGCAGTCTTGGTTCGATAACTTCCAAATCAACCCAATTCTTCCCAAACTAAACCTCTTTGATCCACTTTTTTTCAATCCAAAAACATCCATTTGCAAATTTTCCATCACCATAGTAGTAGTATTTGACCTTCCCCCATAACCACCAACACTTTCTTGACTCTTTTGCCTATACATTTCAGTCACATAAATGGAAATCCAAATCAAAAATCATAGCTTTTTGTGGGGTTTCAAGAAAAAAAAAACTACATTTTATGTCAGGTGCATGTTAGCAAGTGTAGGTGTGATTTGCTAAATTACGCATGGACAACATTTTGTGATTCCGAGCCAACCAAAAAAGATCCACCCTCCCTTTTTTAAAAGGGAAGGCATAGAATATTGCTGTTCTTTTTGGGGGGATGTCACCTGAGTATGTTAGCAAAGACAAGGCTAATATTCTACAGTGCGCAAGAACCATTTGGATCCATACCTTCTGATTTCTGATTTCAGATGGCCTCTCAGCCTCCCGTTCAGCCTCTCTTTCGCTTCTCTGGCTGCTCCTCCTAAATTATCATCTTCATCGGATTGATTTCTTTCCTGGAAAAAAAAAAGTCAAAATAATTGAGATTTACAATCAATTTTGACCCCCAAATTGAAATATACGTTTTGATCCATTCTTTCTTACCAAAAATGAATCGTGGGTGAGATGGGTATCATGAGAAAGTCTACTCCTCATGGATCCAAAACTAGAGCCGATGACAGACGATGAATCACACCATCCACGTAACCTCCTCCTCCTAGCTGTTTCGACTCCAGGTAGCATACCAGCCATTGGATGAAAGTTTTACAGACAATCTACGGATCTGATTTCTTGATTTCAGAAGCTATCCGATCGATGAAGTTGAGAAACGATGGTTTAATGGAAGAGACAATGAGTGAAAGATGAGTTTCTTATGGGAATTTGAAGGGTTTTGGAAACGAAGTCAAGGAGGAAAGAGGCGAGAAGGTTCGTGGAAATGAAGAAAAAGGGGGATCATACAATTATCATCATTTTTTCTCATTTAAGTTGGTCTCATACCATTTTCCTTTCGGTTTGACTCAAATATCATTACTTCCGTAATATTAGATCTACAATAGTTTAAGACCAAAAATTTAACACAAATATGCAATTGCAACAGCCAGATGTGCAATTACGACGGGCCAGTTCCGCAATTGCAATAGTAAACTGGTTGAATTTGTCATTTTTTATTGTGGATGTAGTGACATTTATGTCGATTCGAAAAAAAAAATTTGTTAAGAAGATCAATTTGAATGAAGAAAATAATCATTTGAGTTAATTTCTCTTTTCCAAAACTCTCGGCCTGACTAAAATTGTACCATATTCGTATTGTCTTTATAATTTCATTTATCTATACTATATTATAAAACATTTAACAAAAACTCTTAAAAACCATTTTTTATGCATGAATAACTGTTTATTAATGCATATGACTTAAAATTCAAGATTACAAGTAAATTGTGCATAAATACAACTTATTAAAGCTTTATGTTTGAATTCGTGTAACTAGCTGCGGATAAACATAATCAAATATATGATAAACATCTCATTTTAAGATATAAAAAATCTGAAATATAATTAGAATAATTATTAAGTTTTAATAAAATACTTAATTATTATCTTTATAAAAAAATATATTATTAAACCTAACTTAAGTTAAATTAAATTATTAAATAAATTTTTTTACAAACAAGAACTCTTAAATAGTTAATTTGATATTAATATTGATATATATTTTTCAAATTTTGTATGATATTTTCAAATTTATATATTATTCAAAAATAAAAACATTATTGCTTTCTTAAAACCACATAAAATCGTATTATATCGACATAGATAAAAAAACAAAACATTGAAATGGAAATGTGTCTCGATGCATTACACGAGTATCCTTCTAGTTATTTTTTATGAATATATTTATATAATGTTTAAAGAGTGAATTATATTGGTAGTCCATGTGACTTGTTCAAATTTTGGATTTGGTCTCTAAACAAACGAACTTTTTCATTTTCATAATATTCTTGGTTCTTCCATTTAATAATATTAGTTAGCAAACATTATAAAAGATAATTCACGTTTTTTTTAACTTTTTATTAAAAAGAAATATCTTAATATATCGATTTACAAATTAAATATCTTAAATAAAGTACATATTAAATAAAAAAATTTATATTTGATTTTAAAAAGTATAAAATTCACAAAAAAAGTTAATAAAATCTCAGTTTAAGAAAAACAAAAGAATTCGAGATAAATTCACATATATTTTTGGGAATTGAAATATGCGAGCAAAAATATTGAAAATTAATTTTGGTTAACATGAGATTATTAATATATAGTCAAACTATAAATAAGTACAATAACAACAAAATAAAAATTATAAATTAAGATTAGAAGAATACTAATTATTCAAACAATTAAAAAAAGTTATCACTACAACAAAATTAGATTTATATGACGTCAAAAAAATTAAACGTCCTAAAAACCTATCTTTTTACAGGACGTTTGTTTCTATAATTTTTTTTTTGCTCAGTGTCATAAAAAATTGTTAATGCAAGTTTTGTATTATAAGTATTCTAAAAACTTGTTATGAAGTCTAAAAGCGTCATATAAACTTATTGCAATGCATTTAGATAGTACACTTTATTTTTGGTCCAATATATTAAGTCTTTAAAGTGGTTTATTAGAAAGCTTAACTTTTTAGCCGTCATATAAACATAATTTTGTTGTAGTGATAGATTTTCTTAATTCTTTGGATAATTAGTGTTTTTCTAATCTTAATTCATAATTTATATTTTGTTGTTATTGTAATTATTTGTAGTTTGATTATATATTAATAATTTCAGTTGACCGAACTTAATTTTCAACATTGTGCTCGCATATTTCAATTCTCAACTCAAAAGATATATGAATTTATTTCAATTTTTTTTTCTAAACTTGAGATTTTTTAACGCTAATCATTTTTTGTGAAGGATCATGGATGTTATGAAAATGAAAAGTTAAGGACCACTGGTATAGATAGTTTGTTTTAAAAACCAAAACCAAAACCAAAACCAAAACCAAATCCAAATTTTAAGCAAACCGCAAAGACCACCGGTGTAATTAACTCATGTTAAAATCATGTCCAACATTTTTAAAATAGTGTTATATTATTTGTTTATATTGCTTTAAAACAAATTTCACTCTCTTTTATTATTACAATAAATATTTACAATAAAAATATATACAGTTTTAAAAAGGGTTAAATGCATGAAATAACAATCTACTTTAATAAAATTTCTTATTATAGCATTCTAGTTTTATTTTTCTTTATTACAGCAATGTATTTTCAAATTATTTTTTATTAAGGCATTGTACTTTAAAAAATTTATCCATAATAGCAATGGATAACCTGTTACCTTTTAAACCGGTTAACCCTTTGACTTTTTTACTTGTGTGGCTTTAATGAGGTGATGTGGATGCCACATCATTTTGATGACTTAACAAAAATTAAAATAAAAACTTATGTCAAATTATTATTAGTGATTTTTATTTTTTTATTGCTATGATCTAAAAAATATTTAATTTTTTTAACTTTTTCTTATTAAGTTGCATTCAAATTAAAAAATTTCTTAGAGTAAAATATTTATTAAATAAATATGAAACATTATTTTCGAGATATATTTTGTTTGTAAAAAATGTAATTTTTCTTATTTTATGTTGTTTAAATCAATACATATCTTTTAAAGTTTTCTTTAAAATATTAACGAAATAAATTGTTATCTATAATTTTTTAATATTGTTATATTAATAAATAATTCAAAAAAATCTAATTAATTTAATATATTTATTCGTCAAGTAAATTTTTTTTGAACAAATATAATATATTCTTTAAAAGATAATATTTTTGGGTAAAAAATGAACAATTCTTATTTTCCTTTTTTCAAAAAACACACATTTTTTTTTAAATGTTAGCGAGATAAGTTGTGTTCTACTAGTTTTATTGGTATTGATATATTAAAAATATTTATAAGAATTTTTTTTTAATTCATTTAATACATTTATTAAATAAACTAAATATTAAAATTAAAAATACAATGTTTAATAAGAACTAGTAGATGCTATAATAAAATTAATTTTAAAAATACAATGATGTAGTAAGAAAGTCACATCACTATAGTACATGTGAACAACCAACATGGACAATGAGGTGACATGGAAACCTAGTATAATGGGTAAATTTAAATCAAAAGGTTACCCAATGCTATAATGGATAAATTTTTCAAAATACAATGTTCTAATAAAAAATAGTTTGAAAGTACATTGTTGTAATAAGAAAAATTGAAAGTACATTGTTATAATAAAGAAATTTATGAAAGTAGATTGCTATTTTGTGCATTTTGCCCGTTTTAAAATGTAGATTGCTATTATGAAAGTAGATTACTATTTATGAAAGTAGATTGCTAATCACAAAAAGACTCATGCCATATGCTATGAAGAAGACACCAACATGTACTAAAAGAGAGAAAAAGGAAAAATGTGTTGCATTCAAGATTTGCACGAATGCAAACAACATAAGATGTGGTTGCTAAACATACGTTCATATCACATCTGCCAACATCATTATAAATGATTTTCTGTATCATAGAGCACAACATACAAGTTTTAACCGGCCCTGAATGAAGTCCAAAAATTAGTTCATTGGATGCTTGATTTTTTGTCTAGATATCTAGTAGGCAAGTAGCTCTCTTATCAATTACTGGTCTGTCTTGCAACAGTAATGATGCCCACCAACTGTCACCTCCTAACAGAAAATGTACATATATGATTATCAATTATAGTAGTCATGTTATAGCTATTGGTAGTTTCAAGAGAGTAACATAGCAGGTTACCTCACAAAAGTTATATAGTTGTATATCAAATGATTAAATAGAATTATTGCATACAAATTATTGATAGAGTTGAAAAATACATTTGAAATTCAGTAATTGAGTGTATAATGTTCTTCTTATACCCCATCTTCAACATCTATTCTTTGCCTACCTGTCTTCCATCGATTTAAAACCACATGCTCATCAATAACCAAATAGCATCTACATTTTTTATTCGTTGGTTCTAAGAGCTATCATCTTTCCACAATTTGCTTAATGATGTCTATCTCTGCCTCCTTTAATAACCATTTTGAACCTTRGTAGTTATTAGAAAACCTCTTGGGAAGACAAAAGCTTAATCCTCGTCATCAGATGGTTCTGGTGGGAAATCAAAATTTTGTAGGAAGCATAGGAAGTACTTTTCTAGCGGAGGTTGACATAGCATTTATGTTAACATATGGTAACATTTCATGTTAAGATATGCTAATGTATGTTAATTCATTTTAACTTATGCTAACTTATGTTAATATTTCCATGTTAACATCTTTCCTACCATTCTCACGAAATTTTTATTTCCTACACGATATATATGTATGCACGCACACACAACATTAAATATCAAATAAAATGCAAGTAATGTTATAGTCCAAGCCATACGACAGCTTCCAGCAATTAATTTTACAGGACTTACAGCAAGCTACATGTATTGTACTATGTTTGTGCCAAGGTGTACAAGAGAGAGAGAGAGATGTAGATCACCTGAAGCTCTGGTGGAAGGTACCGGTAGACATCATAAATTTGATCCTTAAACCCACGGCTCAACATTTCATCAGATTCATCATGTGGAAATTTAACACATTCACATGCATCAATTTACAGATTTACTTCCAAACAGGAAGTGACAAAATTTAGGAATACAAGTTTCATTACTAATTATAAATGGAAAAAAAGTAGAAAACTCACAAGAATTAGTATTTAATAGCTCTAGTATATATCTATACTATCCCCACACAAAAACATACAAGAAACCACATGGGTATGAGAAATAATGCAAGAAATTAAAGATAATATGTATATATACACAGAGAGAGAGAGAGAGAGATACCTGAGATACCAGCAGTGCAGTAGACAAGGGCAAAGATCATACCCCCAAAAGCCCAAGCAATCCCTTGAATACCAACAATACACACTTTGTGGGAGATTTAACAGCAYMCAAAAAGAAGAGAAAGGAAATTAAAATATCATCAGTAGAAGTGGTTGCAGAAATCTAAATTGAAATAGAAATCAATATCATTTTGAAATAGAGAAGCGAGGGGAATAAAAACAGAGATGTGAATCCATACGAAATCAAACAGAGATGTGAGAGGAACAAAATCGAACCTATATCAATGGTGTACCTGATTTGTGTTGGAGAGTATGAATCGATATGAAATCAAACAGAGAAGCAAGAGGAACAAAACCAAACCTAAATAGGTTGTATACCTGATTTATGTCTTCATCAAGAGGAGCGAGAGGAGCGTATGAGAACAGGAGTAATGACCACAAATAAAACCTGCACCTTGAGAGTATGAATGCATGAATCATTGCTTAGGAAAAAAGAATCGTCCGCTGCTTGGGAAAAAATAATCGTCAAAATCGGTGAGGTTGTGATACATAAAAACCACCATTGTCATGAGAAACGAGGCCTGTCAAGAAGAAAGGTATCTGTATCTAACCTAAAATAGTTTTGGTTGCACATGAGAAAAATTACAGAAGAAGAAGAAGAAAGCCAAAATGGTTTTGGTCGCATACATCGATCGGATACAGAAGAAGATGGAGAGTGATTACCTGGATGAGAGACTGTAAATCGATGGAGAGTGATTACCTGGACATAAATTGGAATGGAACCGATTGATTAATGGATGAGCCTGAATCGTCATGTTTGAGGGCAAGTCATTTGAAATTTGAAATTTGAAATCTGAAATCTGAAATTGGTAGGGAGCAGAAAGCAGTGATGGGATAAGGAGAAAGAGGGTTTGACTCAATTAGGATTTGGTATTGTAGGAAACACTTGCATAAACAACTTGTACATTGTGCAATATATTTTGTAATTAARAGTTTTTTGAAAATCTTGCATAAAATGGTTGTAACTTATGCTTAAAAACTTGTATTTAAGATAATGACCTAAATGGTTATATATGTAGTATAGATATGTATATATATATATATATATATATATATATATATATATATAATTAATATATATACACATATTAGGCCAGGCCGAGCCGGTGATCACCATCCCAGTAGAATCCCCGAATATGTTCTCGATCCCCCCTGTCCCCGATAAGGAGTCCTTGGACCTGACCCGAAAATTTCAGTTTTCGATTTTCACCATCGATTTCGGTGTAGCACCCTCATTTTTACGATAAAAATGTCACATCATCTGAAACAAATTCCTTTAAAAGTACTCCAAAATAATGGCTAAATTAAAATCTTAAACCCTTTTGCAACGGAAGTCTTCAAAATACATAAACATGTAACTTAAAAGCTAACTCATCCCAAACCATGTTAAGTTACAACTGATCTATACATAAAATCTAAATAAAAGATCAAATTTTAGATAAGAGCATGCAAGTCTCTAAGCATGTCCTTTGCCCTTATTCAACCTCAAACTACCTGACTCTGAGATACATACTACAATCAGCGTATAAAGCTCAGGGAGTTCATCGTTTGCGTGAATAAAATCATTTCACATCATACATATCAACTTGTGAACTATGTACCAAATAGTATGCATTTTCTGGAAAAAAAAACATATAACATTGAAAGAAAACAAATCTCATAAACTGTCTGTCAGGTATGGGTCATTTAGTCATGACATTCCCCGAGTTGTCCAACCTACACCTGTCTGGACACCAATTACAGGGTCGTGCCACTTGTAGTGTAACTTTTTTTTAAGGGTGTTCGGGCCAAAGCCCAACTAATCCCCGGCAAATTTGGAGGCTAAACATGGCCCCACTTAAATGTCGCCAACACTCCCCTCCCAGGGCTCGAACTTGGGTTCATGACTATGTCATGCCCAAGCCTTTACCACTAGGCTCGAACTTGTAGTGTAACTTACTGGTCAAATATTCATATGTTAAAACTGATCATAAAACTTTCATATGAAACAACATGCTAGAGTTATTTGAAGACAAAATAAACACATAACATGCAACTGATCATAAAATAACGTACATGTAAAATATATTGTATCATTTATGCACAATGAAACATCATGCATACATACACATCACAATACAAATCATATACTACCCGAAAATAAATTTATACATATGTATGCATCCCATTGCAAGTCTTATGAAGATTCACCTGATTGCGTGTAGATCGGCCTACTGATATCCATTGACCAAAGACCTACTCATTTTACACCACAATATCCAATTAATGGCTTAATTTCCCCAAGAGTCAATAATAGTCAACTATGATCAAACTCGACCCGACCTAAAATACTTAATGTTAAAATTTCTCGAACATCTTCATTTGATCTTAATGTTAAAATACTTGTGGATCAAACGAGGTAAAAATCGACCCTTGTTTAATTCGGTAAGCCTCGACAAACTTTAGTCAAACCCTAAGTTTAAACTCGATGACGTCCTAAAAAGTCAAAATACCATTTTATAATCTTATAAATCTTTCTCCGTCCCAATAAATACTTAACTCAAATTACGACACTTATAAATCTTATGCTTGATAACGACTATTAACGTCAACTTATTCTTTTAACAACTAAAGGAAACCTTTGTTTCATATTAACGTGTCCACCAATGGATACCATCATATTACGACACCTTAAAAGAATTTATTAAATTACTAACTAAATTAATAAGTCACTTAGGAAAATATTAACAAATTAATATTAAATACCTTCTTAAGAAATAATTACGTAATATAAATTTTCTTAAATAAATTAATAT